CCCTGAGCCAAACTTTGCATTATTAAACTCTGGATCATGCATGAAAGTCTAAACTTCTTTTGCCATAACCCTTAATGACTCAGACTCAAAGAAAACTCAATAAACCTTATTACTGCAAATAAAACTTTTATTTTATTATTTTAAAAACATAAAAATCAATCAGCAACAAATTCCATGACATCGATTAACCCAAAGCAGTTCAACAACTCAAAAACAATTTTTCTTTCCTAAGCTCAATTTAATTCTCATCAAAAATAAATTTTCTTACGGTTCATCAAGCACATGTGCATACTTACACACACACATGCCTTTAATGTTCAATCAAATTAAACGCTTTTCTTCCCACATATTTTCTTTTTTGCAAAGTCTTTGCTGCTTTTCCTTTTATATCAAGATTGAGAAAGTGAAAAAAAGAACGAAAATCAATTTTATGATTTGATTGTTTTTCATATACATGCACAGCATTATGTACCCCATCAAATGTCGTGTTTCCCACTCCTTCTGTTTGTTGTTCAGCTTCAGTCAACTTCGATTTATCATTGAACAATGTTTAGGAATCCTTTGCAATTTTGATTCTTTTATTCTTGGAAAATAGGGAAAAAAAAAGAATTTCTGGGTGGGAAATGGTGTTCAAACTTTTATGGATGTATTCTAGTATTAAGGATGGTTAGCAGGGATGTAGATTAATGAAAAGAGGTTAGCTTTGGAAGTTTAGAGCAATATAAAGAATTTAGCATCTTATTAAATGAGTTTTATGACTCTTTCATTAATGAAGACAAGTCTTTGGTGTCATTGGGTTTGTTCAAGCACTGCTGAAAGGTGGATTGAAGCCATAAAGGTACTCATGCTTCATTATTCTCTGTTTCCATCATTTGATTAATATTCCATAAACTTTTTATTTCCAAAACGTTTTTTAAAGCACTAAAACTCGAATATGTTCCACGAGCATCTATGAAAAACTTTAAGTCTCAACATAAGCTTTAATACTTCAATAACAAAAATGTGAAGTCTCATACCAGAGCATCTTTATATATAGAACTTACTGAGCTAAAAATACATCAACTCCCTCGACTTTTCCAACACAAAATCGATGTAAAAGTTTCTCTTCCGTTCCTACCTTTCCACTGTTCTATATGCTTACAGCTTTCAAAATTAAGGATCAATTCTTCCTCAATTATTGAAGCACAATACAGTTTTTTGTCGTATAGCTTACAACTCAAGTGAACTCGAAACAAAAAAAAATGGAAAATATGACATGAAAAGAGCAATGCTTTGAGATCCATCCTCGACATGTTCAATAATGAAATAAAAAGGAAGAAAAAACATTTTTAAGTTGTTTTGCCATTTTCCGCTGTAAAACATTTTTTTTTCGGAATTCCTCAATAAAGGTTTGTTGTCAATTTTGTTTATTCTCCTGTGCTTTATTTATTAAGGCAATAATGAAGCATTTTTGAGCATGAAAAAAGCATTTTTGAGCATGAGCGAAGCTTTTTTGTAGGATGCTTTAGAACAGGGGCGTAGCCAGGGGGGGCCATAGAGGGCCCGGGCCCCCCTCCGAAAATCTGATAATTATTTTATTAAAATTTATAGAGAAGAACCAGTTAATGTAGAGGAAGTGATGAAAGAAATGTCAAAATCAGCACGAAAAATTAAATTTAATGTATGAATAATGAATGAAATATTTAAACTTATGAAGAATGAATATAGATTTAAGGGTACAAAATAACGGTTTTTTAATTTTTGAAAATGCCCCCCCCCCCCCCTAAAAATTTTCTGGCTTTAGAATCAAATGGCTATTTTGAGTCTTGTGACTAAGACCAACTTCCTTTAAAACCCTCGACTAGCCTTGACTTTGTCCATGATGTCCATTTTTTGAAGCATTAATCAGGCTTATTACAACAGAATTGAGAATGATGACATCAATTCTTATTCCGAGTGTTCTTAACTAGATTGTAGGTTGTGCATCATAGCAAATGAGATCCATTACATCGTGATTTCCTATGAAAAATCTTTGAACTAATTCTTGTAGCTCGAGAACTCCATTATTCTTTATTCAGGTCACAAATTCAATATTTAATCTAACAAGATGAACAATCTTATATCCTTAAAGTCGAATTCAATTCAACAAAAGAAAGACATTCAATTCATTTTCCATCAATTTTAATCATCTTACCATCCATTCACAAATTCATTCATGAGTTTACCAACTCGTTCATCAATCCGCCTACCCATCTATCTATAATTCCTATCAAATTGACTTTTCCTTAAAGATGCTCTAAAAATAAGAATAGAACTTTCTGTTGTGTACATGAGCAGCATTAGAGAGATTTTTTTGTGACTTATTGTCAATATTAGACCTTTTTTTTGCTGTATTTCTATTTTTATCATCAGTAATTGGACGGCTTTGTTGCCTTAATTAACTCAAAGTTTGTCATCCCTTAAAAATTTTTAAAAAAGAAAAAAAAGTTTGTTGATAAAATTTTTGCGGTTTCAAAAAATAATTCGTGGAAGAATTCTTTCAACATCCCACGAGACATTTGAGATCTCTTGTCAATCACAGTGGTATCTTGCAAATTAAATTAAAATAAAGTTTCTGGGAAATTTAATTAATTAGGAATTCTTTTGTTAAGTTTTCAAAAAGCTAATCTTTTGGTTTTGTAAAGCTTTGATGATAAAAACTAAAGAAATTCTTTCTCACATTTTTTGTTTCTTAATTCACAAAGGATATAAAGCATTAGATATGAAAAAATAATAAATTTGTATTTTAGAGATATTTTTGATGTTCTAAAGCTAGCTAGGTTTACGGAAGTTTATTTATCTGCTTTTTCCTATTTGAAGGATTTCGGTTAGTTTTGATATTTAAATTAGATTATAGTTCAGCTGGAGGATGTGAAACTGATGAAAGATGATCAAAAATGATTAAATCTTGAATTTTCAGTTCTGCAAATGATTTTTCTTTTAATATTCTTCAAAAATTCAATCTATTTTTTGGCGCAATTTAGAATCATTTTCAATTTATACATGTTAAACGCAGTCTCAGTTACAGCTCAAAATGTTTTCAAAATCAAAATTCAATCCAACTTCCAACTTCGAAGATTAATCATCAAAACTTCCCTTCAATATGCTTTCCTTTCCTAAAATTCATGCAGCTTCAATATTTTTTGAAATTCAAATCTAATCAGATCTTCAAACAACTGCTCATCTGTGCAAATATTTGACTTTCAAGAATGTCTAATCAAAAAACTTTTTTCCTGTGCTTTTAAAACATTCAATTTAAAGTTTTCTGAGAAGATTTTTTCCAAAAGTTTAATTTTACAATGAAATCAGCGACTTTCTTTTTCCTGGAAAGTTTTAGAATCAAAACTTGAACACTTCAAAAACATTTCCTTATTCTAAGAATTGTTTTCTTAACGGAAGTTATATTTTTTTGTGAATTCATCATTTTAACTTCTTAAGAGACCCACGTCAAGTTACAGAAACCAATCTTCGATCTAAAAAGAAGAAAATATTAAAAATAATAATTCAAGTGCCAACAATAAAATTTGATATTTTTTAGAGTATTCTTATGGATCAATAAAAATATCAAGTTTGAGTTTATTGATAAAATTATTTGAGGATGTTTTGTAATATTTTTGGAGATATAGCGCATTTTTCGGTATTTAGTTTAAACTTGTGAATAGCTGATTAATTAAAAAATAAATAAATTTTATGTAAGCTGAACGCAAGTCTATGAATTTCGCCTCGCTGTAAGCTCGCTTGACACTAGCTATTTCTTATTCTGGATTTGAATCATCGAAATTTTATGAACCAAAAAAATGAACAATTAATTCAAAACCAGCTAGACAGCATGAAATTATCATTAGAATCAACAAAAACCATTTTCGAAGTGTCTTAAATTGAAGAAATTTTGAAATGCCATAACTCAAATAATAAAAAATATTTTAAATCTCTTCCAAAAAAAGCGTGCAAAATGGAATAAGATTTCAATGAAAGATGATGAAAAAAAAGGAAAGCAGATAAGCAGCATAGGAATGAAGATTTTTCGCGTGGCTCTAAGATAATTCGGTGCCTATAAAAAATTTATGAACTGTTTGACAGAAAAAAAAATAAAATATTCAATTTTCTTCTTGGTCATGCCTGATAAATTATTACTTGATCAAGCTGTCAGAATATCTTGTCGTCCATCAATCTGCTGTGCATCAACACCTGTGCAAAGTTTTACTTCCTCAGAGTTTTTTTTTCCCCATTATCAGAACAACAAACCTTTTTTTTCGGTCTGACTGATAGACGGATCATTTATCTTAATTCCTTGTAGGATAGACATTTAATCGTTTATTCTTGGTGCATTTTACGCCTTTCCTATTTTTACACTTGACATGAAACTGTTGAGACTTTTTAAATCTAAAATAAAATGATTTTTTTCAAAACTTTTACCTTCTTGGGAATTAAAGGTTGAAGAAGAAATTTAATGGAACTTTTTTTATAGGAAAAGCACTCAGTGGAATAAGTCACCTTTTGCTGTAGATTTGTGTCATATCTGAAGTTCTATTAATCACTTAAAAAGCTTGAATATTTTGGAATTTGAGGCGCCAAACTGAATGAATTCTAAAATATAGAAATAGTCCTACAATATGTTAAATAGCTTTATTCATCTACAAAGCACTTCCCAAGACTAAAATATTATTTTCTCCCCCTTTCAATTCACTTCCTAGCTGTTCTTATCGCATATCTATGAACATCAAAATTTATGTTTTTTTATCATTGACCTTTTAGAGATATTATAAGCCACATAAATCCACATTTTACTCAATAAAGAAGAGATTACTGTTATCAGTCTGAAAAAAAAACTTTGTTTTTTTGGAATCTAATCAGTCACAGTAGATTTGATTGATTAGGAAACTGAATAAGTGTTTATAATATGTTTTGTAATAATCCGATTTTTTAAAGCTCTTTAAGAACTGAAATTAAATGTTAAGTGAAGAAAAAAAATTGCAAGGGGTGGAAACTCTTGTTTATTTGGTATCAGTGAGGTTAGGTCTTTATCAGGCGAGTAGCCAGAAGGATCTTGTCCCCCCTTAAACGTTTTGAACCATAGCGAGAGCACGGCCTAAAACTCTTAAAAGAGTGACAATACCCTCCTGGCTAAGCGCCTGGTTTATACAAAAAACTTCAAACTCTAGAGCCTTAGTAGCTATTTCTTTACTACGCCACTGATTCTATGCCATTTAGGTTGACTTAAATTGGACAGAATCAAAGTCTAGAGTCAGTGATTTTCAAACTCTTTTGATCAACGGAAATTTTTTTTTCTCAAATTTTTTTCACAGCACACCTGGAATTCTTACACAGCAGACTAAAGTGCCGTGGTGCACAGTTTGAGAACCACTGATCTAGACAGTGATTGTCAACCCATGTGCAACGGCACTTTAATGTGAAAAATTCGAAAAATCCCACAAACCATGTGTCGTGTGCGGTTTTGGTCATGACTTACTATTGAGGGGTATCGTGATTGTCCACCACTGGACTACAACAGTAGAAGGTTAAGCCATGACCAAAACCGCTCACAGCATATGGTTCGCTGGATTTCCACTAGTGTGCCGCAGCATATGGGTTGACCATCACTGATCTAGAATGATAGTCAATTTTAACATTCAGTGAAACCGAACCTTAACTTTAGTCTTATCATTCTTATCAAAGATCCCTAACAAAGTTGAATAATATAACCTCAAAACACAATTTAATCTTATTTCTCAATTCAATTGCACACCATTTCTTCCTGGTTTTCGATTTCCTAGACAAAAATTATGTCAACACAAGTCACCATCTAGATCCACAAATTAAATCGTTCCGCCTTTTCCTTAAATTTATTGTTATCAACATGAAAAAAAAAAGGAAAGTAATCAGATTCGTTATCAAACAATTGTTAGAATTCCCTTCGGAAATGCTTCAACTATCTCAATAATATTTACGCTTTGCTAGGGTCCATATCTATAGTCATGGAAACTAATAAATCCTTTCATGATAAGATTACTTTTTGATTGTATTTGGATGGAAAAAAAATCGTCAATTAAGTTCAGTCTCGAGGTAGTTTTTGGAGCTTCAAGATGGAAAAATTGAAAATTTTCGTCGTATTTTCAGCATTAGTTCAATTGTCATTGGAAACTCCATTAAATGCTGACTTACTGCAAAGTAAAAAAGATGATAGAATTGAGAACAAAAATTGGAAGCTTAAGAATGGATTGTATTGGTATGAACAGCACAATCCCTTAGCATTTAATGATCCACCTACAACATATCGTCTACCAAACAATACCTTACCAGTAAGGTACGATATTTTTCTCAAGACTGATGTCGATAAGCATGACTTTAACTTCTATGGACAAGTGAGGATACAAATTCGAGCTATGGAAACAACAGACACAGTCACACTGCAGTACCGGGACATGAATGTGACAAAAGTGACATTTTTAGACATGAATGGACAAGTTGTTGAGCATGATGTGCCATTTGAGTATGTCGAACCAAGATATTATGAATTTTTGAGAATATCCCTTCCAAGGATCATGACTGTGGATGAAAAGTTTGTACTGGAAATTTCATATTCAGGAATATTAAATGAAAGACAGTTTGGATTTTATCGCGCAAGTTATACAGAAAGAGATACTGAAATTTACTATGCAGTTACACAGTTTGAAGCAACAGATGCTCGTCATGCATTTCCGTGCTATGATGAGCCAGGAATAAGAACTCCATTTGGTTTGGAAATACAGCACGACAAAAGCTACAATGCATACTCAAATATGAAAATAGCTAGCAACATAACACTCGAAGGAACTGATTATGTAGTCACAAAATTTGAAGACACACCATTGATGCAAACTTACCTGCTTGCATTTCTTGTTGCTCCATTTGAAGAAGTTTCCAACAACAATACACAGCTTCCTCAAAAAATCATTGCCAAGCCGTCATCAATCAGAAATGCTGAGTATGCATTTAGCCTTCCAAAATTAGATCCAATCATGAAGGCACTAGAAAATCTCTTTGCTGTCAATTTTACATTGTCAAAGCTTGATCATGCTGCAATTACTCAGTTTGCAGCTGGCGCTATGGAAAATTGGGGACTCGTCACTTATCGTGAAATTGCATTGCTTTTTGTTCCTTCTGAATATCCAGAAACTGATGAATTTTTGCAGAGACGAATTATTACAATTATTGCACATGAGGATGCTCATCAGTACTTTGGGAATCTTGTGTCTCCACATTGGTAATTTATTATTCTTGCTATTATGTCTAATCCGGCTCAGTTTTTTTTGGCTCCATAAATTCATTAAGGCGCTATCAGGGCAGACTTACATATATGTGATAACAAAGCTATGAACACGGCCACATAGCAGGACCCTTATGCTGCACGTGCTTAACCACAAGTAGCTCAACCTCAAATCACACGTTATCAAAACTTTTTATAACTTTTTAAGCCTCCATCCCACACTTATTTAACTCAAAACTTCCTTATCTCCAATTCTAATTATCAAAAAAATAATTTTGCTTTAAAAATTGATTCCCACTTGAGCCAACAAGTAGTAACTTGCCTTGTTTCATCAAATTTCATTAATAGCTTATCAATCACTTTTATCATTGACAAAAATTAATTTTACGTGACAATATGCTGACATAAATCTTCCTTCACGAATCATTAGGTGGACAGATCTTTGGCTTAATGAGGGCTTAGCAACATTATATGAGTATTATATAGCACATTTAGTGTTTCCAGAATGGGATTTCATGCAATGGTTTAGAGAACGAGAAGTTTATGAATGTTTTAAGATTGATATATCCACAGCAGCTACTTCTGTTCCAATGTCTCGTTATGTGGAAGCACCAAAAGACATTGATGATAAATTTGATGACATTTCGTATGGCAAGGGTGGCGTTGTCATGCGAATGTTCCAAGAAGCATTTACAGTCAGCACATTCACAAAAGGATTGTCGAAATATTTAACAGAAATGTCATACAAGGCAGCAGTTCCAGATGATTTATTCTCATCGTTGCAAGATGCTTTTAAGGAAGACAATCCAGAACTTGTTTTTGATGTAGCTGAGCATATGGGCTCATGGATTTATCAAGCTGGATATCCATTAGTCAGAGTGTCTAGATCTGGAAATTTACTCCAATTTAAGCAACAGAGATACATGAGTGGAGATGAAATATACTCAATTCCATTGACATATGCTTCTAAGTCACAACCAGATTTTAACAGAACCGACGCAAGAATTTGGTTCACACAGAAAGAAATTCAAGTTCCACAAACTTTATTCGGAAGTGCTATCGATGAATGGGTTATATTTAATGTCCAACAAGTTGGATATTACCGAATGAGTTACAGTTCTGAATTGTGGTATAGAATTGCTAAAGGATTAAGGCATGATCTTGATAAAATCCATCGCATCAATCGTGAAGTATTGGTCGATGAATTAAATATTGGATATTACATATTGGACGAGCTTCTAGCATCGGATGTCCTTGAAGTATTGCTTTATTTAGACAATGAAGAACACAGTGAAGTTTGGAATCGAGCAGATCTGCTTCTATTCACAATAACTGAGAAACTATTTGCCACAGCTGTATATGAAGATTACTTAAAGTACCTCCAGTTCATAACCCGACCACAACTTGAGCGTCTTGGATATGAAGAATTGGCTGGCGATGACCATGACACAAGACTTTTAAGGATGATCCTTAAGACTCACAACTGCCATTCTCTTGATGACTTTTGCTTGTCACATGAATCAAAGAAGTTGGAACTTTACATGCAGAATAATCAAAATCCAACACCTAATTTCTGCTTAGCATTCAGAACTGCTACATTAACAACCTATATCCACTACCTCAATGAAATCACTTCCAATCCAGATCTTTACAATCGTTATTCAATAGTCAATGGAATTGCATGCTCCTTAGACAAATCTCATCTTCAGCTCTTAACTGTCATTATTGAGGATGAAAAGAACGATTTAGAGAATTTCGAAAGAGTCATGATGATAGAGTATATGCTGACATCAAGCATTGTTGGATTGGAAGTTGGATTTGACTACTTAGAAAGAAATCTTAATAAAATTTCCAACTTTGTAGTCGCGATCAAGGAAGCCATAAATACACAAGAATATTCTGAAAAACTTGATGCTCTTCTAGATGCAGCACTTGATGAAAGCTTTATATCTACAGAAGATGCTGAAGAAATCAGAGACGCAATTAAATTAAATTTGGAATGGCAAGATAAGCATTTTGAAGCTGTTCGTGAGTGGATTGAAGATTTAGATGATAAAATAAATGAAACGACTGAAAAGCCAACAACAACGATACCTTCAACAACGCCTGACAGTGCAACAGGAATGATTGCATCTATTGTGCTTATTTTGGTATCTGGAACTTTAATAAGATTTTTTGTGTAGGAAAATATGAAGTTTGAAGGAGTTTTGAACGATGGGTGAACCCATCGTGTTGTTTTCCCCTTGATTTAGATCTCCTGATCTTCAAACAAACATTTCGAGTCTATATTAAGAATTCTAGGTTAAATATTTAAAGAATAAATGCAAATAAAAGGTTAGCAACAAAGAAGCAGCAGTAGCTGAGTGGTTAGAGTGTTGGCAAACCAACCCTAACGACCCGGGTTCGATCCCAGATAATGTCTCTAGCAAATAAAAGCTTTTAAATTTTTTCAACATACATAAAATGGAATAAAATATTTCAAGAAATTCAAAATAGGAACTGGAACTATGACGATGATTTCTGAAAAGTCTGACATAAGAGTTCATTCTGTCCTTGAAGAAAAAATACATAAAACACCCAATTTCAGCTCAATAGCTTTCAAACTCTTCTGTCAATTACCATCTTTATGTATCAACAATGAAATAGATTGAATGTCTTTCATTGACTAAAATTGACATATAACATTTCCGATTCTCACCTTTCAAAAGCTACAAAAATCAACATTCCTATCTTGCATCATCAATTTTTCAAACTCTTTCATTCATCTACAAAATAATCAACACCTGCGACTTTCTTCTTTTGTCAAGTCTTGATATTTTTAACCTTTCAAAATCTTTATCAAAATTGTAACCTTTTTTTAGGTTATTCAGTAAAAAAGTTCATTTATCACCTCCCAAACAGACTGAATTGTTACATAAAAGCTTCTCGATTTATCCATTTTTTGAAAAGAATTGACTTGAGTGATTTTTATTACTGAAAATTGACACAATTTAGGATCTAAAAATAGAGGCTAACCTAAGAAGCACATGATTCTTGAGGCTGTCGGGTGGCTGGCTCATGGTTAAATAGGAATAAACAACTTTCCTAAATGGCACAAGTCGGTTAATGGCTCTACCTCGGATTTCTATTCGATTAACCGACTGGTGCTATTTGGACTTTAACAGAATCAAAGCTTGAAAAAATTATGTTGGAACCTCTTAAACCTCATTTTTTGGGCTGAGCCAAATTATTCACATATAAAACCACAAAGCAGCCATCAATCGACCATAAAAACTATGAGCTTCCCGGGAAACAAAGAAAAGCAAAATTAATTGTTACTTTATAAGATGTTAAAGTGAACGAATATAAATTACAATTTCCACAATGCCTTTTATTCATTAACTCACATTTATCCCAACTCCCCTCAGTTTGTGTACAAAATAAATTGTTTCTGTCGTTTCATTTTATCACAAAAGTGTAAAAGCGTGTTGATGTTATAAACGTAAGAAATTAAAATCCGTTCTTCAATTTCATTCGAAAGGATAAGCTATGTTGTAAACAAATAGGGGTTGCTAGGTTGGAATCATGTGAGAAAAACAAAACAAAAACTTTAATGGAATTCTTTGTTGGATGTTATTGTAGAATGTGATGGGGTAGAAGGTGTCATATGGAGTAAACAAAGACAAGCCTTAGAAGTTTTTAAAAATTCAAACTTTTTTAATTTTAATGGATGAATGAAAGTGCTTTGGGATGTTAGGATCATTGACAGTATTGCTCTAAATCAGTGCTTCTCAACCTATGATCCACGAAACACTACAATATCACCAAAACCTTCAGATGCATGTTTCTACGGTTGTCTAAGGTGACCTTCACTAGGACAGGACATCGATTTTTGATTTAGGTTAGAATACTTCAGATTCCTTATCCTACACTTAGGTTAGGGACCACAGACAGGCCTAGACACCACCCTTAGTTGTGTAGCTGTCGCAAAAGTTTAAAATTCACTGCCATAAGTCAGTTGTGACTAACCTTGTTTGTGCCAGGGTACAATTTGAGGTTAAACCATGACAAAAACCGTATTCAGGTTTAGGGCCGTTCACTTATGACGTCTAACATTTAAGAGGGTGGGAGGGGGTCAGGAAATTTGTGGCATCCAATTTTTTTGTGTCAATGATTGGACGTCACAAGAGTCATAGGGGATTGACACCTGTGACAGTTTTGTGACAGAGGGGGGGGGGGGGGGGAGTAGGGGGGTAGAAAAAAATTTCTTTTTATGGACGTCATAAATGAACAGCTCCTTACGGTTCGTGGGATTTCTTGAATTTTTTCGCAGCAGATTAGTACTAATGGGTTGAACATCACTGCTTTAAGTTCATCAGCTACTTGTGTCTCTGGTGCATCAAAATGGACTCTGACTTTATGTAGGCTTTAGCTGTCCAGCACATTATTTATATGTTCCAAAGTATGTTCCTAATGCGAAAACTATAATCCCCTAAAAAGGCAAACCAAATAAAGTATCAACGATAAATCATGAATGTAAATACACATCTATCTCATCTTAATGCCTTACTACCTTCCTATTCTTTCATCAGCACACAAACATTTATCCATATTGTGGATATGGTTTCTATTTACGTTAATTTCTTTCTTTTATTGTTGGCAATGCTACAATATAGCTCCATTATGTTGATACTGTGTATTATATTCACAACACGAGAATCAGCAATTGCTATTAAGAAGAAGATATAGCACGAATCATGTCAATTTTCTATAATAAAATTTACTGATTTTAAGTGCGCAACGTGGAAAATGAAAAAAAAAAAAAAGTGTACAAACATGTAGGAAGAAGAATTCTTTACATAACTCAGAATTTACAGCGAAAGGGTTGGAGGTGAAGTTTCCGACTACATTTCACGAATTTTCAATATTATACCTTTAAAGGCACAGTCAAAAAAATTGTTACAGAAACTTCTCATGTAGATATTTTCAGCAGCACGGGGAAATAACGAAGAAAATGTAAACAGACATTTTTACTTCATATTTTTTTTCCCAAATAAAAAACATGAGCGGAAAATGAGGAGGTAAACAAATACATTGAATGTAAGATGTAATAAATGTTAAGATTTGGCATTTGGAACCTTTTATTGACTTGTTTCGGGAGTTTACTCTACTTATGTAATAAAGGAATTGATTATTTGATTTAGCTAATGAAGACTGCTGAAGTGTTAATGGCTTGAGTGTTTTTACTTTTTGCATAAATAATTATGAACATTGAGATGTTAAAACATGTGCTGCAATGATCTATCAATGTCAATAGTTAAAGTAAGGATTAAACTTAAGTTTTTAAGGAACCTACAAGTTGTTAAAAATCTAAAGCTGTGTAAAATCTAGTTGAAAGCGAGTTCGAATCCCACTTGCAATAGTTTGTTTCAAATTTAAATTAATAGCTGGATGTTGGTCCATTATGACTTTCATAATGCTACTCTAAAACGTATATAAGACGTTGATCAGAGTTATTAAGGAGGTCCCTATAAAAGACGGGGAAGATATAAAGAAGTTGGCATAATGAGGAATTTCAAGAGCTGTACAAGAAGGCTGATATAGTGAAGGTACTGCGAATAAATCGATTGAGGTGGGCTGGGCATGTAAAAATACGCCCAGAAGGCTCATCAGTGCTGAAAGTAACAACATCAACAGCTGAAATTTTGGATGTTAAGAAATCTCGATTTAGACCGAAGAACTCATGGAATGGCTGTGTAAGCAACGATGCAAATGTGCTAGAATATAGAAACTGGCAGAAGTTGTGTAAGGATAGAGCCAGTTTTAGACGAACTCTGAATGCGGCAATGGGCCCACGTGCGCCTTAGCCAAGGAAGTAAAGTAAGTAAGTATCATTGATTTAAACCAAAGGTAGTCAATTTACAACTTTTAATCAATTCTGCATCCTTGATTTAAGCAAGGACGATAAGAAGTTAATCATAGACTTTCTCAAAATTTCAGACTGAGCCCCCCTACCTTCTAGCAGAGTTACATTCAAAGCTTACAAATTTATTTTCGACCTACAAAAATTTTATTCAAATTATTCGAAGAAATTCTTAAATCAAATTCACATGCCAGTATAAATCTACATTGGGTTACCTTCTGCATTTACAATTTGAGTTAACCCAAAGAATAAACGGCCTGTTTCACTAAAGTGGATTATCCTCGATTTCGGATTATCCACTTCAGTTTTTTGGAAATATCTCCAGATGCTTAAGGTTATTAAGAGATCTAATGTGTGATCTAGTTAGAGTATTTTGCTACTTAAATTAACATAAACTTAGAATTTTTATATCTTCACTAGTTTGAGAATTATAGCAAATATCGAAGATAATCTACTAGATTTGGCTAGAAAATTGAATAATTAATACTTCTTAACGAAAAGTAAAAGTTTAAAGTGTACAGAAATTTCAGGCATACTTCACTTTATTATAATCCAAAATTAGAAATACCACACCTCCCATAAAGTTTAAGATATTTACAAAAAACTAAAGTGGATAATCCGAAATCGAGGATAATCCACTTTAGTGAAACAGGTCGATCGTTTCCCCAATTTTTTTTTTTTTGAGAAAATAAGATTTATAAACTTGATCACGATTGATTCTCAGGTAATGATGGATTCGAGAAAGTTGATGTGAGTTTATTCGTAAATGAAGTCCATAATTTAAAGTGGAAAGATTTCTCGATTTCTTAAAATAACTTAAAGGGTATTATTTATTGAACATCGCTTCTTTGTTGTTTGTTTAGACTAGTGTTGTCCAAACTGTGTGCTGCAGCACACTATTGTGCAAGAGATTTTTTCGAAAATGACACGAGCCGCAAGCAATGATCGACTAAGGTGTGTCGTAGCTCAAAAAATTTGATCAACACTGGTTTTTAGACCAAGGATTGGTTCAATCCAAACAATTGGAACTTATGAATCAAGTTTTGATTATTTCTGATGATTTTTCATCAGTTCCCCTACCTCAGCTACGCCACAATTGAATATCATTCATAAACAACCCAACTAAGATCTTAAGAAGAATCGTCAGGCTTAATATTTTTTCTGACGAATTCAATCAGACCTTGATTGAAAAGGCATAAAAGTCATTTTTATATCAAGTATTCTTAAATATCACGTAACAAATTGTGAATAATAATAAATAAATTATTTTTTACAAAGTCGAACTGAATTTCGTAAGCTTTGTAAATCTTTAGAATTACAGCAAAAGAAGAAAAGCTTTTTTGCAAACAATTTTTCCTCTTGTGTGAATCGAACACAAATTCGCTTTGATGTCGATACCTTAAATGAACAGAAAGGTTACATTTTTATGGTTTCTGTTGACATTGAAGATTAAAGGAAATTTTTACATGATTGGAGTTGTGAAAATATTCAGTCTTTAGGGATGGAAATTCATAACAATTTATTCAAATTTCTGTGACAAAAAAGAATGT